CCCAGCCACTGCAGCCTCAAACTGCTGGGCTCAGGTGATCCTCCCACCTTAGCCTTCCAAGTAACTGGGACTATAGGAACATGCCACCACACCCAGCTAATTTTTTTATTGTAGAGATGAGGACTTGCCAAGTTGCCCAGGCTGGTCTCAAGTCCCTGGACTCAGGCAATCCTCTCACCTCCCAAAGTGCTGGGATTACAGGCGTGAGCCACCATACCTGGCTAGGACTTTGTTTAATTTTCATCATCACCTCTGAGCAGGCAAGAGCCCCTGTCTAGAAGATGCGGAAGGCCCACGGCTAGTAAGTGGCAGAGCAGGATTCAAACCAATATCTGGGTCAGCTGGTTCGAGGCCTGTGCTGTGGCCTCGGCTAGGCTAGAGCCAGGCACAGGGCAGGGCCAGCTTAGTGGGCACGCAAGCCCCTGCTTTCTCCTGCTGTAATGAGATGGGAGCCTCAGTCCAGGGTCCACCTGGAGACTCAGGGGAGTAATCTTCCCAGGAATGGCAAGTCCAGACCCCAGCCGGGCCAGGACATTCAACAGGCTCAAAACACAGCCCTGCTACAGAATTCCCAAAACTTTAATGCCATGGCTCTGGGAGAGGTGGCTTGAGGCTGTGGTGGGTCATGGTGCCACGGATGCCTTCTGCCTCCAGCTCTGGGGTTCCCAGGCACCCAGTGACCAGGCAGGGAGGAGCACAGGGACTTCAGTCCCAGGCCAGGCTGCCCCTTGCCAGCTCTCAGATCTCTTGCTGAGGGAGAGGGGAGGATGGAGTAGGGACATCACTGGCCCTTAGAGGGCTGGGCCTGGCACACTGAGGACGATCTGGCCCAGGGCCTGCATGGTACAGCTAGGGGGTGGGAGGTGAAGAAAGAGACCAGGGTTCCAGTTTGGGGAGCAGAGTGGACCTCGAAGGGCAGGGAGGCCTCAGGGAGTTGGGGCAGGAGTGTGTACAGGGCTGAAGGTCCTGGGGACTCCTGGCCTCTCAGGGTGCTCGATTCAGGCAACCTGAGATGGGCAACGAGAGGACACATTCCTACTCGGGTCCCAGAAATGGAGGACAAGAGCATTCCGAGAGTGGCCTGCCAGGCACAAAGAAGGCGGTGTAGTCCGGGTGGGGCCGGGCACGACCGGGTGGGCTCAGTACCCTCGGGAGGCCTGACCCCTGCTGTCCGGGCCTGCAAACGGGTCCGCGGGCACCTCTGGTGAGTCAATCGTCTGGTAGGCACTGCGGTCCTGAGAAGGTCCGAGAAAACCTGGCAGCAGGGGACACAGAGGGAGAGAAAAGCAAAGGGTGAGACTCAGGATGCCCCACAGAGTCTAGACCAAGATCCATCCAGCAGGGACCAGCCCAGCATCCTGACACTGAGGACGGTGACAGTGGCAGCAGCTCAGGCAGCAAGCCTTTGGCACGTATCATTCATTCAGTCCTCCCTACCCTATGGGGCAGGTATTTTTACTGTCCCCACTTTACAGATGAGGACACTGAGGATCAATGACTTGCCTGAGATCACACAGCTTGAAGCGGATGACGCTGGGAATGAAACTTTGGTGGCATAAGCCAAAGCCAGAGCTCCCGGCTGCGGTCCGCAGCAATCTGGCAAAGTGACGCCCAGCCCTGGGCCCCCGACTCTCCTCTAGCACCCCCCAGGCACAATGACACCGCTGAGATGGGGCTGGCACAAGGCAGGGCAGCAGGACCCAAACACCCCACACGCCTCACTCCCATCCCCCGCTCTGCACACTGGTCCTGGATCCTAACAAGTTCCAAGGCTGGGGGCATCAGTTTCCTCAACTGTCCACTGTCCAGGCAGTACTGAGGTCAGGGAGGGTGGGCAGCCCCAAGCCACTCCTGCCCTTTCCCTGCCTGCTCCCCCAAGCGGGTCACAGGCCACGGGGCCTGCTTTCTCAGAAGTGAGGGCAGAAGGCCACACCCGCCTCCCCCAACTTCTCGCGGAGAAAACGAAAGCATGTGTCAGAGCACAGGAGAATGGCTCGGTCACCACAAGGGGTGCAGGGGTTCAGAGAGGGAAAGGGTGAGTCTGGGAGAGGGGAGGGGGCTGGCCAGCAGGAAAAGGCCTGGCATTCAGCTGTCCTCACTGAGATTCCTGTGGCTCACAGGCACATGGGCTGTCCCTTGGCCACCCAGTGCTGTGCCTGCCACTGGAGAGGGAAGACCCCAGGCAGCAGAAATGCAGGTTCCAGCAATGGGCCAGGTGAGAACCAAGAGAAGTAGCTGCTGCAGGCTCCTGCAGGCCTCGGGCTGGAGGCTGCCTGGGCTGCTGCTGGGAACTGAAGGGCGCCCCCAGCTGAGCCCGTGCCCAGGGCTGGGAGGAGGCCTGGCTGCAGCCTGTCAGCAGGAGACGGTCCCAGCAGGCCAGGAAACCAGTGACCAGGAGCCCAGACCCTCCAGCCTGAGGCTGGCTGTGCCTGTTCCTCCCAGGAGCCTAGGTCCCATGGGGCAGGGCCGACTCTCTGGGGCAGAGGCCTTGGTTCAGGCAAGGGAGAGATGGAGAAGGGGGCACTGGCCAGAGGAGGTGGCCTCACCAGTGTGGACGAGGAGCTCACCCCCACGCTCCCGGTACATGTGGTAGACGAAGCAGCAGGAGAACGGCTTGAGCAGCAGGCTAAGGATGGCCATGCCGGCCCCGAAGCGCTGCGTGTCTGTGAGGTCGGCCCGGGGATAGAAGATGCTGATGTATACAATGTCCAGGAAGATGGTGGCCAGGAGGCCACCCAGGAACTGCAAGACACCACGTCGTCACAAGCTGATGAGCACGAGAATACCCCCGCCACGCGCCCATGCTCCCGATACCCTATCCCAGACAGGAAGCCACCCTGAGGATCTGCTGGAGAACAGACCAGGGGAGCAAGCACACCTGTGGGGCAGCCTCGGGGCGCAGGTCTGGACCCCCACCTGCCGCTCCACCAGAGCCCCGCCCATCCTATCTCCCATCGCCCCAAGATGACGATGACACCCTTGGAGTTCATCCAGTCTGTCTCCACCACAGAGAAGATCCCTCCTCAGTCATCCCCAGGCCCAGCCCTGGCTTGAAAAGCCCTGCAGGAGTGCTCACAGCCTCGAAGGGCCTGCCTGGCAGATGCAGCAATGTTCCCTCTGTGGGAGGTCTTGCCGTGCCGGGTGAACCCTGATTCATTAAGTAGTAGGGTCCCCTCTTGATGGGACTCCCAGCCACATCCCTTCCCCAAAAGAAAGGCCAGAGGTGTAACCGGGCTCGGTGGCTCAGCCTGTAATCCCGCGCCTTTGGGAGGCTGAGGTGAGT